TATATATATATATATATATATATATATATATATATATATATTTCAAAGATTTTCACGGGCGTAGGTATGCTGGTCTTGTTGTATTTGGGTCTTTTCCCATGTAAGATTGAGATTTTCTTGGCAACATTTCAGCGAGGTCTCACTCGCCATCTTCAGGCTGGGTTTTGGGCTCATATATAAATATATGGGCTATATGAATAAATGAGAAGCAATTGAATACCTGTCCCAATTTTAATTTTTAGTCTGAATAACAGGAAATATTGACAGTATTCGTTTGTCTAACGTGTACAAGATAGCAGGTATAAATATAAAATGGATCTAAACGAAAAAAAATGAGTACAAATAAATGGGACAGTAGGACAGGGATGGTAGGAATGCTGGTGCGCTTATGCACACCCCCTTTACGGACCTCTTAGGAATGGGATGAGGTCCACGTTAGACAGTTTAAGGTTTAAGCTGTGAGGGTTTGAGGATGTAACAATGGAATCAGGTAGAGCATTCCAGGCGTTGACCACTCTGTTGCTGAAGTCAAATTTTCTGCAGTCGAGTTCGGAGCGATTTACCTTGAGTTTGTGTCTATTGTTTGCCCTTGTATATTATTGAGGTTGAAACTGAAGAAGTTGTTGACAGGTAAGACATTTTAGCAGACAATTTTGTGTACTGTGCTTAGATCATACAACATGTGGCATTCGGCATCCTCCCCTGGAATCTAGAAGATAAGTTTCTCAGTGGATTTCAGAGGCAACTTTTATATTGGCAGCTGGCTGTTATTTATCATTCACATATTTTTATGTAAGCAAGTGTATATAGTAAAGTATTATGTAACGCCAGCTGGGTGATTAACATGTTACAGAATTTTATTGTGAACTGATAATAGCGTACGTCAACCATATTTTACAGTTTGTGGGCTTTTAAAAAAGATTTTAGCATATTTATATTTGGGATTTTTCCCAAGATTTTAAAGATCTCCCTGAATTGGGTATGAGATATTTCTTGATCCTGAGTGGGCAGTACCACTTTATAAATATGCATCCTTAGCTCTAATAATGTTTCACTGGTGGGTTTGAGATAATTAGTTCATAATATTCAAACTTCATACTTGAGATTTTTTTTAAAATTAGAATCAACCAAAATGATTCAAAAGAGAAGTATAGAACTCATCAATAAACAAGATGATGAAAAAAATAGCCAGTAGATTGAGGCTTTTGGGAGCAGAATATTTTTCCTGTGCCAGTATACTATAAACAGGGATTGAGTCAGTCAGCAAAATCTGGGAGATGACTGAATAACTTCAAAAAGTACTCAAAGATTATTCCATCCCTACAAATGGTTTTATTTATTTGGTCATTTCTACTTGCAGAAACTAGTCTCAATAATGAATTTTTCTGATCTCTCTGCATGTATAAGACATAAACAGCACATTTTAAGAAAAGAAACACAAAATGATTGTGGTAGTTTGGTACTGTTGATATGTTTTTTAAAAAATTCTTTGTCGTCGTGATACCAGTCTCACTGATAGGCTTTTCTCATTTAGCCTATCATTTAGTTCTGCAAGTTCCTGTAATTGTGAGAACAGTTGTTTCTCTGAAACTAGTTTCAGTTCTATTTGTTCCTCATAATTATGCTTCTATCAGTTTTGACAGCATAAGGGTCCAAGCGGCTCGTGCTGTTCCTATATTGATAAGATTTAGTTTTCAACCTTTGCTTTAATTTTCACTTAAGGTCCAATATCAGCGAAACATTCTCTTCATGATGGTTATCGCATTAGAATTTTCAGAAGGATTTTGCTGATTGCTTTCAGTAAAAGTTGCAAGTTTGTTTCCAACAATAGAATTGGGATTATAGCTGTCAGTGCATGAATAGTCCTTATGTAAGGCAGGGACTTTTATTATATTTGGGTCTTACAAATAAATACATCCATACTTTAAATGAAATAGTTTCATGAAAACATTCTTGGAATGAATTACCAGCACTGTCCATTTAACCATGGCATAAGGTAGCAGATTTGTTTAATACTGCCAATGTTTTACAGATTTAAAATCTTAAATATTAGTTTTTAAAATATTATATATCATACAGGTATTTCTTTAAAAAATGTGTAATGTGTTGTTGGAGTTTGCAGCAGCAATCACATCCAGAAAGCACACACAGGTAACTGATTCAGCAGGATTCAATAACTTTTCTTTATATATAATATAACACATGAAGTAAATATACAATACCAAAAGGAGGTTTTCCAATGTGGTAGTAAATACAAGCAAACACAGGCAGAGGAGAGACCAGTTTCATTTTTGGTTTAGAGCAGCAGACTAGTTTGCAGCTTTTAGTACAGAAGTTAAGCTAAGCCGTGCCCAGGCTCCTCGGTCTCCTTGTTGCTCACACAGCAAATACTGTTTCAGTTCCAAAACGGCCCTCATTGGATGACCCAGTTACCATGTCTCTTCATTGACTGACCTTGTTACCACGTCTCTGCCAAGTCATGAACTCTCATAAACACTGACATGTGTTAATGTTGCTTGCTATAAACATAATTCTATAATTTTAGCACAGAACACTCATTGTTTTTCTTTTCTTTGGGGTCTGTAACAGTATGCCTTGGTTCTTATCAGATTAAGAGTTCTTATCAGATTAATGTCAGCCCTGGATCCATCTTTGGATAGACTTTACAGGGCTTTCAATTAAGAATTTTGTTCAAGATGGAGTCCCTGAGATAATTTTGTCTTCCACCACTCATCTGCCTTAATTGTTTTTTCTTGATGATCCCAAAGAAATTAGTGGAACAGAGCATCTTCCAAATGCCAACATCTTCTAGCTTTTTGTCATATTCTTTAACTGCTATTAGTTTCCTAGAATCTTTTAAGCATATTTGTTCTTTACCCTTGCTGAAGAAAAGCTCTTTCGTTCCATCTTTGTGCTCAAGTCCCACTGTATATCTCTGCTTCCTTTTCCCCCCAAAGGTGTTGAGAGAGTTTCCATCTTACAAATGAGTCTTCATCTGTCTTTTCGTAGCCTTCTCAATCTAAATCAACTAAGATTTCAGACAGGGCACTCAAATTGGATGGCACTTTATCAATGATATCTGGTGACCAAGTTCCATTACCTTATATTGATATCGATCTTTTGGGACCTGATAGCAGTAAGTGACAGTGTTGACCATTAGATATTGCTGTAAGGTTACAGTATTTGGACATTACTGGTAGTGCACCTGATTGGATTTGATTTCTTGTTCATTTTCAAAAAAAATTGATGGGTTTCAGTCCGAAGAATTTCCCCTTATAGTTGGTATCTTTCTCAGGAATTAAATGAGCAGTCTTATTTTGTTCACTCTTCCTATGGATATTTTGATTCATGATCAGGAAATCTAATAACATAAATTATATTGATCATATTGCAGTCTACTGATCTTTTGGCTCTTGATTACAATGCTTGATCCATGGTGATGGAATGTCTTACAAACATTTTCATTTGGTTGTCTCACTGCTTGAAAGTGAATATGGACAAAACTGAAATTGTTTATTTGTTCATTATTTTTCATTTCAATCCCACTGCAGTCTAAGTGAATCTTAGTAGTTGGATTTTTATGTTTCAACCTGATTTTTCTTTCCATGAGTCTTTCCCCATTTGTGTCTAGGACTCCCAGATTGCTCCAATTTCTTCCAATTCCATCCTCAAGAACTTGATTGATGTCCAGCAATGTCTATTTATTGTTTCTGTAACTAGAGTTCCTAAATTTCATTAAATGGATATCTGCAGGGTGCGGGGGTTTCTGATGAAGATGACTACAGTGCTACTAGTCTGCTTTGTTTGTCACTATTTTGGATACTATCCATTATTCCCTGAAATACTGATAAAATACAAATCCAGGAAGTACACACACGCACACATACTGTATATATGGTACATTGTCAAATTACACAAGCAAAACATGTCATTACACTGTTCACCCTAAGAAGAACATCTGATGTTTTCAGAAAACTTAAATAGTATGACATACATTTTCTTAGTTCTGTAAAAATAACTCTGCTCAGAAGAACAATGCTCTTAACAGGATTAATTAATGCAAGTAGTTTAATCAGTACTTAGCCACCATCAAACTCGCTTAGGCAAGACCACACTGTATGCTATGGACTAATTTAATAAACATAATAACTGCCGCCTAGGTCTCTAGTTATCATAATCTGTGCCAATTAGACTGCTCATTTATGAGCATAGCCCGAGTGTTAATCTGCTATTTTGTTGCTTATTAACTACTTCATTTGTAAACACAAAAGAATGGCTAACATCTCTTAAGTCTTCAATATAATTTTTCAGTGCCTCCTAGCCTAGAAATACAGAAGCTATCAATACCAATGTAGGGGGATTACTGACAGTAGAGGTTTACATTTCTCATCGGTTCCCTTCCTTTTCTGATTGGCAAGTGAAGAAGGGATGGAGAGAGAACAAAGCTAAAGAATACATAATATAGAGACACAGCATTAATATTCAATTAATATTATTAATATTATTAATATTATTAATATTATTAATATTATTAATATTATTAATATTATTAATATTATTAATATTATTAATATTATTAATATTATTAATAT